TCATTAAGCTCAAAACATGATTCCTCTATGTTTTGAGTTTAACACTTCGCATTAAGAACAATGACTTGAACAATGTGACTAACCAAATCAAGTATATTCCTAGAACAAGAAATGATTAGGTACGAGATTCAGTTCGGGTTTTTGAAGACGTTTTCCAACTGGGTTCAAAAACCAAAAATCATACAACGGGTGATCAAGCCGATATAAGCATTAAGAGAAGAAGAAGAGTTAGTAGTTACATCCAACCAATCCTTAAGGAGTTTAGCCACACATGGCCATTACAGGATCAAAGAGTGAAAAGAAGAAATTACAAAGTAAAGGATGAAGAAATGGAGTTGATCTTCGTTCCCAAAGGATTTAGCTTCCAAATCTTTGTTCTCCCTTCGTTCTTTCCTCTTCACGTGCTCTTCTCTCTGTTTTTCTCCCTCTGGTACGTGATGTTCTGTTTTGTGCCTTTTCCCCCTTTTATATGAGCTCTAAAACAGGGCACAAAGTGATTTTTTTAACTCCACCGCTGTCGCTGTAGAACCACAGCTATGGTTGTGGAGAGTCCTTCAAGATGAAGCAACTCCTGGCGCTGCAGCTGTAGCTCCACATCCATGGCTGTGAAAACTCCTTCATGATTAAGAAACTCCCTGAGCTGTAGCTGTGAAACCACAGCTATGGCTGTGAGTCTCTGTGGCTTTCCTTGATCTCCCAAGCCTCAACGCTCAAGCTTTGGACCTGCAGCTTTAGCTTCAAGTCTCTGGAACCAAAAATGAGCATTCCAGATTTCCACAACTATAGCTGCAGAACCACAGCTATAGCTGCAAGTTTCTGGCCTTCAAAATTTCTCCCCAGATTTCCACAGCTATAGCTCCAGAACCACAGCTATGGCTGTGGAAATCTGTCTTCTCAATTTTCCTACAAAAAATGGAGGGAAAACATTAGGATTTTGCTACTACTCTTCTACCCTTTTAGTATACTTTGATTCTTCCAATTTAAGGGCAAAATAACATATATAAATATCTACAAATACCAAAAAGAGTACCAAAAGTTGAGTGCAAATCATACATAAAAGACACTCAACATAATATTTGGACAAAACCCTCAAATCCCAACTCAAACTTTAATCCCCCTTTTCAAGGCTTTAGAGGCCAAATCTCTTAAAATTCCAGTTGTGAAGATTGATCCTAGCTTGATAAACTTCCTAAATATGTCCTCAACTTCCTTTCGGATCAGAGCCTCTCTCTCTACTTCCTCTCTCTAAAAATTGTCTCTGTTTGACAAACGAGACCCTCCGGTCCTAAGTCCCTATATATAGTCATTTTCCAAAATTTCCAAATTTCAACCTTATTCACCTCAAATATTCTATTCCTTGAAGTATTTCAACTCCCTAAGCTCTAAAACAACCTCAAATTCACTCAGAAAGACCAGATTTATCTTATGTTCTTATCCTTCAATTTCCTACCCATCCTATTCCTTTCCATACAATACTCACAACTCACCACCATATGAAATGCAACATGTATCAGCTCACAAACAAACATCACTTTCAGATACATATGCTTGGAATAATGAGTTGCATGCCATAATACTTCACTTAACTAAGATGAGAAGGAAGGTGATCAGTCTTCTTCCCTCTTAGTACCAATTCAGTATAGTGGTGTACAATGCATCATTCACCACATTCATGATACACATGCCTATATAAACCTCTCATCTCATACTACAAAATCACTACTATGTCCAAACAACTAATCAAAACCACATAATTATACAACATGCACAAAGATAAGTACATTTCAAATTCACACCTCCATAATCCAATCCAAATCCATATATACAACATATACATACTTACATACATACATATATATAATATAAAGTATATCTATCAAATAGCTTGCTATTTCCATGGTGTTACATGTGACTAGGTAGGTGTTGTGTGAAGCTAGTGAGTGATTGTAGATTGATGGAAGTGGACGTCCACTTCATGGAGAAAAATTTTGCACTTTCTTGGCCCAAACAAGCCTAATAAACACATTTTTAAAATACAAGTTGCACCCCCTCCTAAAATACTAAATACACCCCTAAGGGGATAAATCACAACGAAGAAATTTCTAATCTAAATAACAAAAAAATACAAGGTCAAAAATTAAAAGAAAATATTTTCAAATAAGAAATGGACTATAAAAAATAACCCAAAGCTCAACATGAGTTTGGATTCTTCCTTCATGCCTAGCCTACTTCTCTTTATTCTTTTTGGACTTGATCCTTGGACATGATTTCATTAAACCCATTATGCGATTAACACCTTAGCCATTAATAACAAGAACATCACTCAATTGAAATATAAATTTAATTAAAATATTACAATGGAATGATACTACAATATTTTTAAAAAATAATTAAATCATTAAAGTTTTAAATATTTAAATTAAATCAAATTAATGATTATATATATATATACACACAAAAACACGTATACAATGACAAACTCAATAAATATTTTAAAAAAAATTAAAATTTAGATAGAAATTAATAAGAGAAATGTAAATGTAATATAACATAAAATAATTTTCTTATAAGAATAATGTTTTGAGCTGGAAATTATGTGCAAAAAAATCATGATCAAAGTTATCACTTTATTTATAAAGGAATTGACCTGATGAGAAGGAGTTGAATTTGCTTATCCAACAATTAGGGCTATAAATGAATCGAGTTGGCTCAAGCTCAGTTCATCTCAACTACTTGATAACATTTGGCTCAACTTGCAGCTTGATTCGAGATTGACATGAACCTATTTTTTTCGTTTGAGTTTAGTTCAAGTCGCATGAACCAAAACTCATTTTTTTTTAACCTTATACATTTCAAAATTTTAATTTAATAATGGATTTTAGATAAAATGATTGTTTATTTTTTAAAATACAAAACAACTTATTCTATTATATTTGCAAGGTTACAAGGTATGATTTCAAAGAAACATAATTACAACCACAATCTGTATAAAACTACTCCACCTTACATTGAATAATAGAAACCCTAATCGATAAGCATGAGATTTTAAAGTGTTCACTTTTTTTATTATTTATGTCCAAAAGCATTACTCAATATATATAGTTTGTCTTCAAGCAAAATCTAAAGTGATATCTCATGGACTCTACACACCTCTTTCCACAACTAGCTCCCTTTGGGTTAACATTAGTATGGATTTTGCGCTTGGTCTCTGATAGACCAATTTTTGTATATCTTTTTATGCATTATTTTTTGTTTATTTGATTTTTATTAGTATCATATTATGATATATTAGCTTTGATTTGTTTTAGTAAGTCATTTTGGTCTTGTAAATTTTAGTTAATTTTTGTAATTTTTTCTACTTTGATATTGTTTCTTGTGCAGACCATATCTAGAGCTCCCAAGATTGGATTTAGACGTTCTCGGTGTCCTTAGAAAGATAAGAGAGAGTTCTACAACTTTTATGTTGGGAGAAAAGGTCAGTTCGAATGTTAAGTGGCCAAAAAATGCATTGCAATATTACAATCCTACATAGTATTTTTTTATATTTTTAAAATGTAATGTTGAGATTTGTTTAGTGATGTAGTCAGTTGATTTAGTGGACCAGGCCTTGTAAATATTCATTTAGAGTTATTTTCTCTATAAATTTCTCTAAATTCTCTTTCTTTCTCTCTCTTTTAGAATTTTCTCTTTACATTTTTCAACATGAAGGAACTACAACATCTTGATCAATATGTGTGACTAATCTATTCATTCAGTTTGAGATTTCATGAATTACGGTAAAATTCAAGTTCCCCATCTATTTTTACCGTATGAATTCTTTGTCTTCTTCTCCGTTCTAGATCTATTTTTTTATTCTTTATGATTATGAATTTTGTTTTAATAGACCAGTATTAGATTTGAAGGTTAATTTTGGATACAGATCTATATTTAGATCTAAACCTAAAATAAACTAAATCGTCTAAATCAAGCAATTGCATTTCATGTTTTTATGAAATTCAATAGATCTACATTTAGATTATGTTCGTATTGATTTAGGTTGATTGAATTTGAATTATAATTTGAACTATGAAGATTTTATCATAACGATTGAAATCTTAAATCGATGTAATTTTTAATTGAATTTTTTTTATGTGTTTGTAATATTCTAATTTCTCTTTGCTTTTCATAAAAATTCCCTTCATAGTTTTGTGATAATTTTGGATCCAATTAGTTTGTGTCTCCAAGAAGAATGACCTAAGTTATTTCCTATATTACAAATCTGAGATAAATTTAGTAGTTTTTTTTATAGTGATTTGGCAATGCTATCAATCTCCTAAGAATCTAAAGGGGCTTTGATTTTATCTTTGTGGTTGTGGATCATTTTAACAAAATGGTCCATTTTATATCATGTCACAAAGTAATTGATGCTAGTTATATTTCTAAATTGTTCTTTAAGGAAGTTGTTAGGTTGCATGATCTACCCAAAACTATTGTATCAAATAGAGATATGAAGGTCCTTAGCCACTTCTTGAGGACACTTTGAGAGAGACTAGACACAAAGCTTGTTTATTCCATTATTTTTCATCCTCAAACTGATGGACAAATTAAAGTAGTAAATAAATATGTATCTACACTTCTAAAGGTTCTTTTAAAGGATAATAAAAGTCTTGAGATAATTATCTATCTCATATAAAATTTGCTTATAATAAAGTTTGCTTATAATAAAGCGATCCACAATACCACTAATCTTTCTCCCTTTAAGATTATTTATGATTTCAACCCTCTAACACCTCTTGATCTACTTCCATTCCCAGATACTATTTCCGAATAATTTTCATAGCGTAATCAATAAACTTACAATTGTAAATAAAATAAGAATAGGTTTTATTATCATGTAGTAACATTTTTAACATTGTCTTTAATCGTTCAGGGATTTTTTTTTTAGCATAGTTAGTGTTCGGTCCATTAATAAACCAGATATATCACAACTGATTTTACAGAAATAAAAGGATTAATTTAACACGATCAAAAGGGGGGGTAAAAAACCCTATGATTACTCAACCAGTAGCAAATGAAACAATCACGTTCCCATCAGAAAACCAATAAACAATCCATAAATTGGACAAAGTGAATCTAACAAAGGACGAAATAATGCTAGGTTGGATACAGTCGCTAACTTATTCATCAATAAATACTCTATATATATCTTTTCTCTACAAAAACCGCTAATCTAAACAACGAATCAAAATCCGGCGAGCTCGGAAGTAAACTGTTTCTTGTCTTTAAATTATATATACATATTACACAACAGCTTGGAAACACCCGATTGGTAGGCTTTTCACTTTTCTGTCACACTTGTTCGTTTCCCTTGAGAATATTGTACTTGCAGAGAGGACAAGTTGCATTCATCTTCAGCCATTTCACTATGCATGAAGAATGGAAATGGTGGTTGCAGGGAAGAGCATGGAGCTCTGCTCCATCCTCGTATGAACACAGGCATATGCAGCACTCCTGAAAAGCAAAATCAGCAAATAAAAATAAAATAGACTCCTGAAAATTATATTAGCAGACCATTTTTTACGGTCCAATGAAGTATTCTATGTAGGGTGTTTTTTTCTAATGAAGGAAATCCTTTATTTCTAAAGGAACATATAAAAGCTGGATTCTTCCAATAATAAAAATAATAATACCAACACAAAGCAACATACTAGAAGGGCTCAGGCCAACACCCAACTAGGTTCCCCCTTTCAAGAATAGATTACAAAAGGCTAAATTGTTATTTTAGTCTCCCGATAATACTCTATCAACAATTTTTTGGTCCCCTAATTTTTAATTCAGTAATTTTAGTCCTCTAATTTTATAATACCTACAATTTTGAACCCCTCACTGAATGTTTATTTGTTGATTGTTAAAATTATAATGTTTATGACCTCAAATTAAATAGATGGCATGACAATTAACATTAATAATATTTAACCTAAATTACACTTTTAGCTCCCAATTTTATCCTATTTTTCATTTTACCGCTTTTAAGAGATAAAAATAGAAAATAAAAGTAAAATTTAGACTAAATACTATTAGATATTATTTGTCATATCATCTACTTAATGTAGAACTATAACCAACATTATAAATTACAGATAGACATTTAGTGATAGGATCAAAATTATAAATTGTACAAATTTGAAGACTAAGATAGCATATTTAAAAAATTGGAAGATCAAAAATTGCGAATTAGATATTATAAGAGACAAGAAAGCAATTTAACCGTTTATAAATTCTTATTAAAACCATCTACAATAATGAATAGCACCTAATAACAGCCTTCTTTGCTAACCTTTTTGTTTACTATCCACCCCTATATATTAAACACATACAACTATCTTGGGCAGAACATTTTAAGGTTTTATCTTTAGTACAAGTGATTTTAGGTGTTTTCCTTCGACAAGAAGGTTTTTAAGAATTCTTTTAATTCTTTATCTATTTCAATTTTTATGTATCATTTATTTATAAATTAAATTTTAATATTTTTAAAAAATTATCAATAATTAAAAATAAATTTTCACTATATAAATTATTTATCATAAATCTAAAATATAATTTATATATTAAAATTTACTTTATTATAAATTTTAATTATATAATAATAATTTAACCTATGCAATGTAGAAGTTAAAATTCTAGTTATTATTTACTTGTTGACCTCATCTTTAATAAGTAGCAAAGTCCACTTCTTTCCTCCCCTCCTTTACAGCCAAAAGAACTCAGAAACGGGTGAAGAAGTATGATCAAAGCAGGTAAAGATATGCCTTTTTTCTATTTACTTTAAGTGAGATCTAGTTGAATGCTTCATGGTACTTTAAGAATAAAATGCTGATATTGCTTTCAATTTTCTCAGACTTCTTTCATAGAACGTGCGATGATGAATAATTATTTTCTTTCATATAAATCATTTTTTTATCCCAGGTACAAGGCTGTAACACCTCTTCATAAATTCTAAACTAAACATATTAAATTTTTAAAAAATTATAATAATACTACAAGTCCAGATGTAGATTTTTTTGGTACATAGTCCAGAACTTCAGATGCTGTTTAAATCAAACTTTGAACCTCTATAAATTATTTCCCAAAATTCTAAAAAGACGAGGATTTTAGTTATAAGCTCAAAAATGTGGACCACATTAAGCATCCATGAAACTACTATTTGAAGTTGGCAATGGCAATTTCGTACTTAGATGTAGATATTGCATTTCTTATTTTCTCCCCCATGGTTAACCAGATTCACAGTATGAATCTGTGCATTGACCGAAATATAGAATCCGAGAAACAACAATTTCTATTTCATTGAAGTGATGAACATGACTGAAATAAATTGCATTTTAAGAAGAGCATACCGCATCCTCGGGTAAAAGTGTCCGTTCATTTGCCAAGTAAGCGCTGCTGGTTTCTATGGGAACCATTGATCCAGCTCCGCCACTAGGCTTGTCCTCATTGCTTAATATTTGAAATCTATATTTTGGAAGTAAGCTAAGATCTGCTTCTGATGCGCCTTCCTATGTTATCCAGAAACAATAGGAGAAATATTAGAAGGTTCACAAATTTGAAATATTTTAGTCAGTCAAAAATATTTTATATTCATACCTGTCCTGCCACAGCATAGAGAATAGCAATGATGCAGGGCAAACAACAACAAAGAGCAATGCCAATCAAGCAGGCCAAGACAACACAAAAGATGGCAAAAAACACATCAAATGCCAGAAAGACAACAGCCAACCTGTACAATTACAAAAACAGATATACTTTGTCATTAATGTCCGCCAAAATTCAACAAACAATTTACCAATAACATATTTTACACAAATAAAAAAGAAATTCTTCCTCAGTTCTATTGAAACTATAAATTTAAAGAAAATGGACTTTCAGGCTTTAGAGATTTAAAATAATTAATTGGACTTTATATCACATTTCAAGCTTTGAGAACATCAAATCAAAAAGTGAGTACAATTGGTCCCTAACATACTAGGACGAATATGTGATAGAACTGGCACAGAGAAAAGAAAATGATTGAAAGAAGGAGAATCTTCATTGATTATGCTCCAATTCACCATTATATGAGTGGCACTTGAATAGGTGTGAAGAACACAACTTAGTCAAAGATTCTTCAAGTGGCTTGTCACTCCCAGCTAATTTTCTTATCGAGAAGTACTAACAACATACCCTCTAACATATTCCTGCTAACATACTCTCTCTTATTAGTTAAAATTCATTTAAAATTACAAAGTCATGAGCTTCATTAAATAGTACTTGGAGACTAATATACTACCCTCTCCAAGTTTCATCTTTTCCTTTTATACTATTCTGATAATTAACAGCTACCCAATCAGGGGTCAGATTCTTTCCTGGACTCCAGAGCAGGTGTTTTTAAGCACCAGGTTGCCCTCTTTTATAATCAATCAAGTGGAACACATGGCTAAATTTTAGCCACTAGCTGCTAAGGGAGCTAGTAACCTCTTAAAAACAAGCAGTAGCAAAGGAATCTCCCTCCATCCTTCTGTTATTCAAAAGAAATAAATGAAAAACAACATGTCTTCACTCCCCACCCCCACAAAAAAAAAAAACGTTTAAAAAAAATTAAAAAAGAAAAGATGAAAACCGTTAACTGTGAAATATTATGTGTATATGTGAGTCTACATGTATAGTTAGATATCATAATATTAAAATTATTACACAAAAATTAGTTTTTGAAGTTTGAAATAAAGTCTTACCAGTACAATCGTGGGGCATCTTGCAGAAGTATATCACCACCAGAGACAACCCAGTAAAAGCCCACTATCCACCAGAGGAATGAAACTCCAGTATTTAATGATTCACATCGTTTAGTGAATCTGTTTTGTAAATGATTAAAATCAGTGTCAACCAATCTTAATTATATAGTACATTCTAAAGAAGTATCAAGAATAATATAATAAGCCAAACAACATATAATTATATAGCAGATACTACAGCAGATTAACATGCTTCAACAACCAGGGCATTAAGGATAAGAACAGACATCTTATTTCCTTTCCCATGAATATGATAGTACTGTCCTGAGGACTGTAGTTAGTCCTCATATTACAGTATACAATGTGAGGTACAGCTTCTGTGCCAAAAATGTCTGCAGAAGGATTCTATTTCCTGAAACCTAAATCAAAGCCATAAAGCCTTTCAATATTACCAGAAATATACTAACAATTTTTTTTATCAACTATCAAGACTAACCCTTATTTAGTCAACAACGTTATAGTGACTACAATTTATACCATTTCTTGACTACCCATGAGTCTTTTGAGGCTTAATAGAACATAAAAGCCTTCAGCAGAAAGAACAACTATTCCTCTATCACATATTAATTAGGTCCAAGGATGAATCTATCACGTAGTAATTAACTACAAGTCTACAACAATAAACAATTGCAAGAATACAGAAAAATTTATTCCAGAAGGCTGATATAAAGAGATAAAGGGGGAAATAACAAAAATTAATTGCAATCGTATCTGTAAACCTACAAGTAATAATTAGGTAACCTGCGAGAGGGAGGGAAGATCAAGGTGGGGCTGATGTGGGATAGAAGAAAACTCAGATAGTTATACCCATAATGTAAAGCAGCAAAATACTCACTCTAAAATCTAAAAAACCATGTATAGCATAGCACATTTACATTATGAAGAAAGGCAACATTCTATTAGCTATCTTGGTCACTCCTGTATCAATTAATCTTGAAAGAACTTAACTTTTATAAATATAACATGCTTTAATATCTTCAAGAAGTCCTTGACATAAAACCATCATTAAACAACTCTACTACAAACATACATTGTCAAGTGCAAACCCATAAATGACTTTATATCATACAAAACACAAACCAATCCAAAACTTGAGCAGAAATTAAATTAATGAATGAAACGTGGTAATAAGGATTGAACACTACACTACTGAATCAAAGAAGAGATACTCATACCACTCAATAAACCAAGTCCCCTTAACTCTTAAAACAATTAAAATATATATTCAATTTAAATACTGCCAGATGCCAATATTTAAAAAGTTAAACAAAGGGTTGCATTATCAAAGTCAAACCAGAGAAGACAGCTGAATAACCCTTCAGACAAAAGAAGCAGCATAAAGTCCTAACAGCAGCCCTCAATATCTGCCATATTTTTATCGTACTAAGGTTGCTCTAGCTAGTGGTGGCGTGTATGTGTCCAAAATTATGGACGCAGCCATATCATACCCAAATTCCTACAGTACAGGAACGGTGAGTTTTTGTATTTCAATGCAATGCTGGGTTCAAAAGCATTTATATTCAATACAATAATAAAAGCTAAATCCATGATCAATACACATGTTAGGGTCCTTTCTAGATTGTTGAAGACAATAACTAGTTTACCCTCACACCTATATACTTACTTTTGTCCACGCTGTGATATTAGACAAACACATACCCCGTTCATGGTCCCTTCACTCCTCCTGGTCAACCTAACCAATCAATGAAACCTTTTTCACATCTTTAGTTCACTACCTCTGGCAAACCACATTCTATTATCCATAGCCTCTTGATCATGACACTACAGTGCAATCAAGTCCAATCATATAACCCTTAATCATAATTCCAATGTACAACATTTGAAAAATCTCCTAGAATGCCCTTACTACAATCCTTAATTGGACCATAAGCACCAGTACATAAACACGACAAAAACACAAGACACAAAATATTAATCTGACCAAGTGCACCCTCAATTCATTCCCAGCAAAACCAACACAGCACAAAAGCAACTGCTCTTTTCCTCCACAATATAACACAAGCTCTAATTTCACCAAGGCTCGCCAGAACCCACAATTTCCATGAACAATCATACATATACAACAATTCATTCAATAATTTATACATCATTTTTTGCGTTTCTCTCTTTCTATCCCATCATTTATTAAATTTTAAATTTCCCTCTCTTTCTCTCTTTGTTGTACAAACTGTCGCACATGTGTCTTTCTCTCATGAAATCAAAAGTAAAAACCCTAACATCCAAAAATATAAATAAAATAAAAAAAAAGCAAGTCCAATAGTTCACTAATTAAAAACAGAAAAAATCAGCTCAACATGAACAGAATTGAATAGAACTGAACGCACCTGGAGCGAGACGAGCTTCCAGAGCTCCCATCTCCGTCGTCGCTGCCGGCGTCGCTACCAGCGTCGCTCCCCACGTCCTGCGGCCTCTGGCCGCGGCGCGATTCCCGGCGGCTCCGGCGCCGGTACTCGAGCCACACGAGCAGCACGTGTACGAGGCACTGCAGCGCGTAGCCGATGATCCAGACGCGGATCGGCGTGTTCGGGCTCTCGTGGGTGGTGCAAGCTAGCATCGCCGCCGAGACGACGACGAAGGCCATGTTCCACGACATGTCGAGCGCCACCACCGGCTTGGAGTAGCCCCAGTCGGCGCGGCGCTCCTCGAGCTCGCGCGCCGCCGTCTCCCGCACGAGCATGGAGGGCCCGCGGCGGCCGACACGCCCGAGGAGGAGCGCAAGCGCGGGAGTCCGCGAGGTGTCGTGGCGGGGGCGGAGCAGCGGCGCGTGGGAGTCCAGCGCCTCCGTGGCGGCGGTTTGTGATGACATGGCGGATTGAGCCCTCTAGAGAGAGAAAGTGGGGGCGCGGTGCATTATTGAAACTGAAACAGTTCGATACAGCGAAGAGTTATGAATCGAAATAAATAATTTAAAAAAAAAAAAAAAAAAAAAAAAAAAAAAGGAAAAAGGAGTTTTGGGGTGTGATGAGAATTTGAAGAGAGGAAAGGTAGATGAAGTGGTGGTTGGGAACGGTGAGGTAGTGCGGTTTTCGCAATTGCAATTCTACCAAGTGAAGGACGGATACCCTTTGCTCTACCATTGTTTTAAACTATGAAAGTTAGTTGTGGATCATTTAGTTTTGTTAATTTTAATTAAAAATTAAAGTTATTAAAAATGGAATATCAATAAGATAAAGATATTTTTTATATGATAAGGTTTGTTTATATTTACGTTCAATATTTGTGATATTACTTGTGTTTTTTTATTTAAAAAAATAAAAAAAATAAATCAAATTAGATGTCAATGTAATAAGATGTATTAAAAATTTATCTCATTAATTACTTTAAATAAAATATAAATTTCATTAATTAGTCACGTAAAAATTTATGAATGATTACAAGTATATAATTAAAAATATTTCTTATGTTTTATATAAATAAATATTTTGAATGATTATATTTTTATGTATACTTGTGAGTTCAAGGCACAAATATTTTATTTAAAAATAAAATAATTGAGAATAAATAATAAAATAAGTGGTTAACAATTTGACAATTTGATTGATTATGATAATTAATAATTTATTTGAATAGTTAAAATAAAATTAACTTCTAATATTATTTTTATTATTTAAAAATTTATGAATAAAGTCATCTAAATATATAAAAATAAAAAAAGGTTACAAATCAATATATTTCCTTTATATATAGGTAATTTTTTATTATTTAAAGATTTAGAGATAAAATTATTTAAAATTGTAGAGACAAAAAATAGTTATAAACTGATGCATTCCCTTTATATATACTAGTAGAATAGAAACATTTTATGTCTTTATATTTTATTTAAAATTTTAATAAATAAAATTAAGATTAAGTAATAAAGGTAGTTAAAAAAATAGTTAAGTATTTTGTGGATAGTTATTAAAAGAGAATGCTAATTGCTAAAAAATTATTAAATTTTTTTATAATAAAATAATATAATGTACAAATGAAAAGTGATTACTTAAAAGGTTATCCCTTCATAATTAGTATGAACCAGTAAGGTAATAGGGATGGCAACGGGGCAAGTCGGGTACGAGTTTCATGATACTCGTCCTCGTTCCCACGAGTCAAACTCATCAATGTACCTGTACCCGTACTCGTCGGTATATAATTTTTATTCCTATCCCCGTCCCGTCGGGTATCGGGTATACTCGTACCCGTATCTGTACCAATCAATTTTTTTATTTTTTTTATTTTTTGTATAAAATATAATATTTTTAAATTATTTTTCTATTATATTATAATTATAATTAGGTTATTTCTCTATCTTATATTGTAATAAATAATCACACATAATAAAATATTAAAATTCTTTAACATAATTAAATTGAAGGTGGGTATTAAATTAATAATGGGAACGGGGACGAGTACGGGAATGGGGCGGGTAAGTACATACTCGTACTCGAACCCGTACCCGATTTATTAATATATCGAGTTTTACTCGTACCCGTACCCGGTCAAACTGGGGATTCTCTGTCAAATTCGGGATAGGTTCAGGTAATACACACGAGTACAGGTATATTTGTCATCCGTATAAGGTACAGTGGATAATTATTAAAAAAGAATGATAATTACTAAAAAGAATTTTTAATTTTTTAATTTTTTTAGCGACAAAAGAATATAATAGTTTATCAAATGTGAAGATCAACAGTGATTATTAAAAGTAATATCTTTATTATATATTAGTATAGATGTATAGATATATATAGATTAATAATTTAGGATATATGTGATGCATAAAATAATAATTTATTTATATAATAAAATTTAAAATAAATTCTTATATATACTTTATTATAATCAAAATTTATAATAAATTATTTAAAAAAAATATAAATTATATTTTTAATTTAAGATAAATAATTTATATTACAGTACAAAATTATTTTTAATTATTGATAATATTTTTAAAAATATTTAAAATATATATAATATATATTCAAAGAGATAGGAAATCAAAAATATAGATATAAATATAAATATAATATATTCAAAAACATAGGATGTTGAAAAAATAGTGAATTAATCATAAAATTAACGCAAAGAAATAATATTTGTATTTTAAAGGTAAACATTCTATTTTAATATTTAATTATGACTAACCAGATAATTCGTTTGATACGAGAAATATAAGATATATTGTTACTGTGAGGTTATTCCTTCATGAAAGGAGGAGTTCACATGAGAATGAATGTTAAAAAAAAGTAAGGAAAACAGTGATGAGAAGTTACAAATATTATTTAAATTGGTCTCAATTTTGATGAATTTTTTTTTAGTTAAATACCTAATTTGGTCCCTTATAATATTTTAAAGTTTCAATTTAGTCTTACTTTAATTTTTAATTTAAATTTGGTCCCTAATAATTTAAATTACTACAATGTCGGACCTTCCGTCCAAATTTCTTAAACGGAGTTAACTGTTGGTCACGTGGATGCCACGTAGATGCATAGGTGGATGCCAAATTTCTTTAATGCACCTGGAACCAGAATGACCCGTTCTGAAACCAGAACGGCTCGTTTTGTTTGCATTTGTGGTGTGTTAATTTTGCATCTGGAATGACCCATTGATGGAAAAACTAGGAGAAGTGGTAGGTGTTCTCCTCCTTGGATTCGCCAAAGCTTGGACCTCTTCAATGGAGAATGAAACCGAATGGATGAACACTTGAATGGAGGTTGTTCTCGGATTAGAATAGCCTAGACTAAGGAAGGAAGTATCCTAGCTTAAGGCTCAAAGGATTGCTCACTTCAAAAGGTAGGAACTAAGGTGTGATTCCTAGGGTTTTGAAGGCAATGCTCTCGGTGACTTTTGGAAGAAACTTGGCAGAAGATTTGCTCTCAAATTTCATATATCAAAAGTGAGTACATGGAGCTTGGAGGGAAACATTTATAGGACCGGAATTGGAAGCCACTTGGCGCCAATGTGAAGGCTTCACATGTGGCGCCAAGATTTGAATTCAAATTTGAAATTTGAATTCAAATCTCAACTCACATGTGTGTCACCGGTTCACAAGGAGGGTAAGTGAGTTTAGGTTTGATTTAGTTTGCATTTAGGGTTGAATTTGAGTCACACATGTTCAGCCAAGGTGGCGCCATCCATGTGACTCAAAATGCAACTTAAATACAAGCTAAATTAAACCTAGTTTAACCTAATCCTATTAAACATGTTTTTCCTCCTAATTCCTAGACTAATGACCTAAATACAATGGTCAATGAAATACAACGAATAGGAAAAATTACAAGAAAGAAAATGAGTCTAATATTGGGTATCAAAAGCCCAAAAGCCCATGAAGCCCAATTACAAGCTCAAAGTTCACAAACCCTAATCTATGGTCAAAATACAAGACCAAAAACAAAGTAACTTCCTATTCTACGAATTTGCAATACAATATGGTTCCAATCAAGTAAAGCCCAAGTGAGAAGCACCCTAGGCCCACCAAGCCCATTGGGCCCACTAAGCTTTGAAGCAGACAAGTCTTCAAGTAATCTCCTGGCCATAGCTCTAGTGGTTGGACCCTTGGTCCATGCTCTTCTATCACCCGTTCCAGGTGCAAAATTAACACACAACGAGTGAAACTAGAACGGGCCGTTCTGGATTCAGAACGGGCCGTTCTGGTTCTAGAATGCCAAACACAAACAGTCAATGATTATAGCTCACGCCCGTGATTCTAAATCACGGTTGTGAATCATGCAAGGAAAAAAAACCAAGGTACAAAGCATTTCAAACACTAGATTTGGTAATATTGTTAATGGGGGATTTATAACTTCAATTGCTAAACATTTGGGCTATACACCATTTCTGGACCAATTGCAGGATATAGGAGCTCCTAGAAGTATTAATTATAATACTTTTATGCAATGCAGTGTATCACTAAGGACAATGGTGGCAGGTTTTATTTCATTGTTAATCAAACTGAAGTGTACCACTTACTATCAAATCGACACTATACAGTTAAGGATGAAATGACATGGTTTTTCCCTTGGAGTCATTGACCGATGTATCCCAACAACAACAATATTTCAGTCTTTGAATTTTTATTTTCAGTCTCTGAACCATATTTCAGTCTTTGAATTTATGTTATGTTATGATTTTTTGTTTTCAATCTTTGAATCACATTGGTGCATTTTGTTGAATGCACGTATGTGGTTGGCGTTCTGGAACGACCCGTTCTGAATCCAGTACGGCACGTTCTAAAACTAGAACGGCCGGTTCTGGTTTCAGAATGATCGTTCTGGTTTCAGAATGGGTCGTTCTGGTTCTAGATGCATTAAAGAGATCTGGCATCCATCTATGCATCTACGTGGTATCCACGTGGCCAACAGTTAACCCCGTTTAAGAAATTTGGACGGAAGGTCTGACATTGTAGTAATTTAAATTATTAGGGACCAAATTGAAACTAAAAATTAAAGTGAGACTAAATTGAAACTTTAAAATATTATAAGGGACCAAATTAGGTATTTAATCTTTTTTTTATTATATATGGATATTGACAATACCTTATTTATTAAATCGATTTATGGAGTGAAGATAAATATATACTAAAATACCTCGCACTGGTCTTCGTTCTACTTTAATTTTTTAAAATCTTAATCTGTTTTTTTTTCGAATTTATTTGAAATTTTCTTAAAAAATAAATAATATTATTAATATATTAGGATAAGATAAAATAAAGTTTAGTAAGTACGTTATTTTAGTGTTTTATTTGGAAATATGATTAATCAAAATTTATATATATATATATATATATATATATATTATGTGTGTATCTAATTACATGTTTCTAAGATATAAATGCAATCAAGTAAAATAATAAAATGGTTTAAATATATTTTTAGGTTTTCTAAACCCTAAACCCTAAATACTAAACTCTAAACCCTAAACCCTAAATCCTAAACCCTAAACCCTAAATTAAATATAATATTTTTAGTCTCTTTTTTTTAATGTCATTATTTTTATACATTTTTTATTAAAAGATTAAGTGATCATTTTAGGTGTTATTTACAACTATCTTGTTAATATTTGACACCTCTAAAAAATCTTT